GGGCCAGCCTTGCCTTCTGTGGGAGAGAGTTCCAAAGTCTGGGAGCAGCACCAAAGAAGGCCCTCTCTCATGTATCCACCAAAAACACCTGTAAAGATGATGGGGCCAAGAGAAAGGCCTCTCCTGTTGACCTTAACACTTGAGCAGGCTTATAAAGGAAGATGCGATCCTCGAGGTAGCTTGGGCTCCAGCCATTTAGAGCTTTATAGATTAGAACCAGCCCACCTTGACCTGCCCAGGAATGGATCAGCAGCTAGTGGAGCTGCTGTAACAAGGGGTTATGTGATCCCTGTCACCAGCCCCATTTAGCAATCTGGCTGCTGAGTTTTGGACCTGCTGAAGTTTCCTGACACTTTCCAAAGGTAGTCCCATGAAGAGGACATTATGATAACCCACCCAGGATGTAACAAGGGCGTGTTACCATGGCCAGATTGGACCTCTCCAGGAACATGAGCAGCTGGTGCACTAGCTTTGATTGTGCAAAGGTACCCTTGGATACCACTGAAATCTGGGCATCCAGACTGAGAGATTAATAAAAGAGCACCACAAGCGGAGCATCTGAGTTTTGAGCGGGACTGTAACCCCACCCAGCACAGGTTGCATCCCTTTCAACTGACTAGGACTGCATATGTCTTGTCTGAATTAAATTCCAGTTTATTCACCCTTATCTGGCCCATTAGCAAAGGTACCCTTGGATACCACTGAAATCTGGGCATCCAGACTGAGAGATTAATAAAAGAGCACCACAAGCGGAGCATCTGAGTTTTGAGCGGGACTGTAACCCCACCCAGCACAGGTTGCATCCCTTTCAACTGACTAGGACTGCATATGTCTTGTCTGAATTAAATTCCAGTTTATTCACCCTTATCTGGCCCATTACAGCACCCTTATCTGATGTCAGACACCCATCAAGAGCTGAAACAGCTCCCTCTGATTTAGAAGGCAAGGAAATAGAAATCATCTTTAAACTTGCAGCTGTGACTGCCATAAATTACACTATTTGATGTTTGGTATTTGAAGACCTCCAAGACCTGTAACCTTTTAAAACATTAGCAATGAAAATGTATGCAAATATAGAGAGGATTGTAATGATAAAAGAGCATGCATAAATGTGAAATGTTACAGTATTATAAACCCCTAGACACTCTCTAACATTTCTAAAGTGAACATGTCAACATACTATATAATCCGTAGAGGAGTGATAGCAATAGGAATGGGCATTTTTATTTTCAGTTGCAAGGCTCCCTCTCGAGCATGTGAAGTAACAATTGCTGGAATAACTTTCAGCACATGTAACACACCTAGCTTTTACCAATGATAGCATAGAAAGTGCCCTTATGTACCAGGGACTGGAGGAAAGATGTCCAGGTCAGGCACCCTCTACAAAGTTCCTCCTTTTAAGCATGTACAGATCTAAGTACACCTATATGTACCTGTGTGTATACTATGTTTGTTTCACCAGCACAATGCACAATAGGAAGTTATTTAAATATAGGTCTAGTTTGATGAAAACTGGCTCAGTTTGGGCAAATTCAGATGAAACTAGAAACAATTCAAGTTTTCTAGCCTGTAATGGCTACCACTGTCATGACTAAAGGACATACAATGCAGGAGATGGGGGTTCAAATCCCTACCTGTCCATGGAAAAATGAGAGGGGGCTGTGGAACTGATTAAATTCCTCCTACAATATCTCATTTACCCTGAAAGGCCTATAAATCAGTTCTGACTTCATGTCACATAAAAATATACATTGGCTAGAATCCAAAGTGTAATTGCTTAAACTGTGATGGCAAATTGCTGCTAATTAAGAAGTTGCTGTCCCCATTCATGCTCATGTGCAGCAAGTTGCATTTATAAATTACATAATTACACTTATGCCTGTGTAAATCTCCAGCAAAATCATGCTCACTGTTTGATTGGCAGACTTGATGCTGCCTTCAAGACTGGTAATAGAGTTCCTCCCGGTCTCCTCTACTTAACCTGTGTACAGTAGTTTTATTATCATAGAATCATAGAAAAGTGAAGTTGAAAGGGGCCTACAAAGACCAGCAAGTCCAACCCCCTGCTCAACGTAGAAATACAATCAAGGCATATCTGTCAGGTGATTATCTAAGTTTTTCTTGAATTCCTCCAATGTTGGAGCACTCATCAATTCCCGAGGTAACTGGTTCCACTGTTGTATTGCTCTAACATCAAGTTTTTCCTGAAATTCAAACAAAATCTCGCTTCCTTTAACTTGAGCCCATTGTTGCGTGTCCTGCACTCTGGGATGGTCGAGAACAGATCTTGTCCCTCCTGTGTATGACAGCTTTTCAAATTATTGAAAAATATAATCACATCACCTCAGTCTTCTTTTCTCGAAGCTAAACATGCCCATTTCTTTCAGCCTTTCCTCAGAAGGTTTCCAGCCCCCTGATCATCCTTGTTGCCCTCCTCTGAACTTGTTCCAATTCGTTAGCATCCTTCTTGAAATGTGGTGTCCAGAACTGGGACACAATACTCAAGGTGAGGCCTAACCAGTGCTGAATAGAGGGGGACTAGCACCTTGCGGGATTTGGAAGCTATACTTCTATTAATGCAGTCTAAAATAGCATTTGCCTTTTTTGTAGCCACACTGTTGGCTCATATTTAGCTTTTGATTTACGACAATTTCAAGATCCTTCTCACTCCTTGTTTTGCTGAACCAGGTATTCCCCTTCTTGTAAATGTGCACTTGGTGTCTTTTTCCGAGGTGCAGTACTTTGCACTTGTATTCCCCTTATTGTAAATGTGCACTTGGTTTCTTTTTCTGAGGTGCAGTACTTTGCACTTATCCCTGATGAATTTCATTCTGTTGCTTTTGGCCCAGTGCTCCATCCTATCAAAGTCATTTTGAATTTTGTTTGTCTTCTAAATTATTACCTATTCCGCCCAAGTTTGTATCATCTGCAAATTTGACAAGCATTCCCTGCACTTCCTTATCCAAGCTATTAATAAAGATATTGAAGAGCACTGGACTCAGGACTGAGCCTTGGGGTGCCCACATGTGACCTCCTCTGTTAGAGAAAGACCCATTAATCCTCACCCTCTGACTACGTTTATGAAGCCAACTGTGTATCCACCTGACACCTGATCTATCCAGCCCACACCTAGTTAGCTTGCTAGTCAGGATATCATGGGGCACTTTGTCAAAAGCTTTGCTGAAGTCAAGATATACTACATCTACAGCATTCAGTCTGTCTATCAGGGAGGCGATCTGATCAAAAAATGAGACCAAATTAGTTTGGCAAGATATGTTCTTGACAAATCCATGTTGGCTTCTAGCTATTACTGCATTGTTTTCTAGGTGCTTGCAGAATGACTGCTTTCTGATCTGTTCCAGAATTTTGCCTGGGATTGATGTCAGGCTGACTCATCTGTAGTTCTCAGATTCTTCTTTTTTGCCCATTTTGAAGATAGGGACAACATTGGCCCTCCTCCAATCATCTGGAACTTCCCCGTTTCCCATTATAAAAAATTGCATAATCCAGTGGTACTTTCATTTACTTTGATTTTCAAAAGGGTAACCTTTAAAGCAGTGGTTCTTAACCTTTGTTACTTGGATGTTTTTGAACTGCAACTCCCAGAAACCCCAGCCAGCACAGTTGGTGGTGAAGGCTTCTGGGAGTTGCAGTCCAAAACTCCTGAGTAACCCAAGGTTAAGAACCAGTGCTTTAAAGCTTCCTGACTGAGCTACAGTTTCTGCAGCTGTACCTTTGACAGCTTCATTAGCTTAACTTGATAAGTCTGGACAAAGAGAATCTTAATAAAGTTATCCAGGTTCTGGTAACGTCATCTTTGGATGGGGAATACCTTAAAAACAAAATAAAAAACAAAGCCCCATAATGTCAGTTAAGTCCAAAATAGGGCAATGTTGTTAAGTGAGATGGCTGATATGACCATAGTATCTCAGGAGGCTGACACTGCCATTACCTTCCAGCTCATTCCAAAGGCCAGATTCAATTCTGGTATTGACATTTAAAGTCCTAAACTTAAAAGAAATGAGTGCATCGCATCCCTTTTGTCATGGGCAAGCCACTGGAGTCTGTGGGATGGGCAGCAAGCTTTAATTTCCAAAAATCACCACTGTTGGGATCATTTTGTTGTGAGCGGTTTTTAGAAATTAAAAACTTGCCCCTGTACTATGGCCCCCAACAGCTTTCCCAATGATGAAGGGGATACAAATTTCTGAAAAATCACCACAGCTGATGTTAAGCTGCATAACAGGATTTCAGCCACTTAAAGTAAAGGGCTTGCAGACTAAAGGTTGTGGGTTTCTTTATTGAGTGAAAATTTCTCGTTATGGCTTCTCCTTTCCTTTGTTTCCATGAAGCCTGAACACATTTTTGCACCTCCATCATCAGTCTTGCAAGTTTCTACAGTACATAACTTGGCAGAACCGACCCTTTCAGACAACTGTGTGGTAGATCAATCTTGTAAATAAATAAAATATGTACATATACAGAATGCTGTCGTATTTGCAGTATGTAACACCATAATTTGAAATAAATCTCTAAACGCACAAATGCTGGGAAGGGGAAGCAGCATTTATCACACTGGATCTTTTAGTGATGCGGGGGGCGGGTATGACTTTTTCACAACGACACATTGATATCTACGCCTTGTCCATGAAATCTCTAGGACGGCTCTTTCTCGAGGAAGTCTGGCAGGCCATTCTGGAATTACAAGTCGCATGCACATTTACTGCTCTGTAAAAATAATGGCATAATTTGTAGCTTTGGAGACCTAATTATTCTTAGTGCCCCTAGGTATGCCAGGTGAATAAATGGAGAGGGTACAATACCGCGATCTATAATAAAAATACTGTACGCTATGCCTTCCGGATAGAAAGCAAGGAGAAGTATGCCTGGTTCTTATCAGCTCGCCCTACCCAGCGGACTGCAAACGGAGTGGGTAGTAAACGGTCAAAAAAACGGAAGTGGCAAAAGCCGAACACAGTAAGCGCCTATTCCCTTGCGAGGGAAGGCGGCCGGGCCTTAAATTCACAAAATCCGGCCACCGTCGCTTCAGCGGTGAGAAGCGGCGCCCGCCCCAGCCTCCGTGAAAAACGAATGGGCGACTCCTGCGCGCTGATTGGAAGGCGAGCCAAGCTGGTTGCTCCGGCGGGCGGCGCTGTTCGGCTGGAGCGACGCTTCTCGTTGCTCTGGCAACCGACTGTGCGGCCTGGGCTGCCGGAGGGCAAAATCAGCGTGATTGGGGGATAGTCGGTGAAAGGACCGTTTGAGACGTTCAGGTATATAAACAATACGTATGTGTGTCTAGGTATCTTTTGGAATTAAGGGGCGACGTGGGTGAAAGGGAAACGCCGGAATGCAGGAGAATAAAGCACTTAAAGAATCTCTAGCATTCTTCTAATATTCTCATATAGGACTTTCAAAGAATATTAGAAGAGGCCCGTAAGCTCCTCTTTCTCGTCTTCCCTCCCATAATTTAAAACAACTATTTTACGAATCTTTGTTGTTTTATAGCGTCAAGTTGCCTCCGACTTAGGGCAACCTGCTATAACGCCCTGGCCTCAACAGCCCTGTTCAAATTCAAAGCTAAAGAGCCAATCCGTCTGGTATTGGGTCTCCCCTTTTTCCTGCTGCCTTCAACCATTCCGAGTATTGTCCTCTTTTCAGAAAATCTTGCCCTCTCATGATGTGCCCAAAGTATGAAAGCCTCTCAGTTTTGTAATTCAGGCCTGATTTGCTTTAGGACCCACTTGTTGGTCTTTCTGGCAATCCAGGATATCCACAAAGCTGTCCCCCAGCACCACCTTTCTAGCAAATCAGTGTTTTTTTCAAACAGCTTTCTTAACTGTCTTCTTTTCACATCCATACATGATAACTGGGAAGACAAGAATGTGGATAATGTTGTTGGTCTCCAGTGAGACATCCATACACTTGATATTTTCTAATTCCGATGTTGTTGGTCTCCAGTGACACATCCATACATTTGATGATATTTTCTAATTCCTTCATTGCTGCCCTTCTGAGTCTCAGTCTTCTGATTTCTTGGCTATAGTCTACATTTGGACTGATGATTGAACCTAAGTATGCAAAATCTCTAACAATTTCAATTGTGAAGTTCAACATTTGGATCTCTATACAAATCTCTAACAATTTCAATTGTGAAGTTCTTCTGTAGTCATGATTTTTGTCAAGTTCAGCTATAGTTCTGCTTTGGCACTTCCTTCTTTCATTTTCACCAATTCATCCATCAAAAGTCAAGTCATTGCTGCCAGAAAGATGGTTTCTGCATGTTTTAAATTACTGATGTTTCTGTCACCAATTTTGACTCCTCCTTCATAGTATCGTTGTAGGGTTGGAAGTGACTTTGGAGGTCTTCTAATCCAACCCCTTGCCCAAGGCAGGAGACCTCATACCATCCTGGACCTCATACCAACCCAGACAGATGGCTGTCCAATCTTTTCTTGAAAACCTCCAGCGATGGGGCACCCACAACATCGGGAGGCAAGCTGTTCCACTGCTTAATGGTTCTCACCGTCAGGAAATTCCTCCTTGTTTCCAGGTTGGATCTCCCTCTGACGAGTTTCCACCCATTGGTTCTTGTCCTATCCTCATCTGAATCTTGTCCATATGCTGTGTTCTGCATACAGATTAAACAGATAAGGCTATAAAATACACCCTTGTCTGACTCCTTTGCCTATTTATATGCCACATTTCTTCCAACAAGGGACCCAGAGCGGCTCACAACATTAAAATTCACACAATTAAAAACACAAAAAGACAAATTAAATAAAAAGATTAAAGCATTAAAACATGGAAAAGATTAAAATTATTTGCTAAAATGGGGTTCAGGGATTCAGTTGTAATTGTTAAAAGCCTGCCTGAAGAGATGGGTCTTTAGCTTTTTTTGAAAGGATAAACGAGAAGGGGCCATCCTGATCTCCCGACGGAAAGCATTCCATAGCCTGGGAGCTGCCACAGAGAAGGCCCTCTCCCATGTCCCCATCAGCTGTGCTTGTGCTAGGATGGGACCAAGAGGAAAAACTCCTCTGCTGATCTTAATCGCCGAGAAGGCGCATATAGGGAGATACAGTCCTTCAGGTAGCCTGGACACAAGCTGTATACGGCTTTATAGGCAATGACCAGCATTTTGAATCAGGCCTGGAAACAGACTGGTAGCCAGTTCAGTTCTTGTAACAGGTGTGTTATATGCTCCCTGTAACTGGCTCCAGTCAGTAGTCTGGTTGCAGAGTTTTGCACCAGCTGAAGTTTCCAAACCGTCTTCAAAGGCAGCCCCACATAGAACATGTTACAGTAATCCAAATGGGATGTAACTAAGGCATGTGTCACTGTAGCCAAATCTGACATCTCAAGGAACGGATGCAGCTGGTGCACCAGCTTTAGCTGTGCAAATGCACTCCTGGCCACTGCCGAGACCTGGGCATCCAAGCTTAGGGATGAATCCAGAAGTACACTCAAGCTGCGGACCTGAGTTTTCAGGGGGAGTGCAACCCCATCCAGCACAGGTAGTGTCCCTATTCCCTCATCTGCCTTCCAACTAACCAGGACCACCTCTGTCTTGTCTAAGTTTCAGTTTGTTTGCCCTCATCCAGACTACTACTGATGTCAAGCACTGGTTTAGAGTCCAGATAGCTTCTATGGAGTTAGGTGGAAAGGAGAGATAGAGTTGGGTGTCATCGGCATACTGGTGACATTGAACCCCAAAACTCCAGACAACCTCTCCCAGCGTTTTCATGTAGATGTTAAAAAGCACAGGTGACAAAGCAGAACCCTGAGGAACGCCACAGGCCAATGGCCAGGATGTTGAGCAGGAGTCACCCAGCACCACATTCTGAGTTCTCCCTTCTAGGAAGTACTGGAGCCACTGTAAAACAGTGCTTCTGAGTCCCATCCCAAAGAGATGACCCAGAAGAATACCATGGTCGATGGTATCGAAAACTGCTGAGAGGTCCAGCAGAACCAACAGGACACACTCCGCTTGTCCATTTCTAGCGTAGGTCATCCACCAAGGTGACCAAAGCTGTCTATAGGAAAGCATTCTGTCTTTCCATATTCTGTCCTAACTGTAGCTTCTTGTCTGCAATACAGGTTACACATTAGGACAATCAAGTGCTGAGGCACACCCGCTTCTTTCAGAACAAACCAAAGTTTCTCATGATTGACACAATCAAAGGCTTTTGCTGTAGTTTATAAAGCACAGACTTACCTTTTTCTCAAATTTCTTGGGGCACTCCAGTTTCCAGTGGATATCTGAGATATGATCTCAAGTGCTTCTTCCATTCTGGAATCCAGCTTGAACATCAGACATTTCTATCCAGTGGATATCTGAGATATGATCTCATGTGCTTCTTCCATTTTGGAATCCAGCTTGAACATCAGACATTTCTTGGGTGGTGCACAGAGGCTTGTGAGTGGGGCAGCCATCTGGGAGGGGAGGGAATGTGGAGGGAATGTGTGGCACTCTGGAGACCTTTGAATGAAGAGGCATGATTTAAGTCGTGCCCATCTCTAATGGCAACCCTTTTTGCAGGTTTTCTAGGTAAACAGTGCTTGCAAGTGGTTTACGGTTCCTTTCTTCTGCCCCAAACTGTGCAGTTTGCCTGAGGCCACACAGACTGGTTTCCCTGGGATGCAGTATGGGGAACTGAACTCCCAATCTCTGCAGCTGGATACCTAACTCAGTAGGCTATAGTTCTGTGTGATGCCTTTATTAGATCACTTAAAATGACGAAAAATAACCGAAGTTTCAACCCCATATGGATTTATCAGGCTGGGTACCATAAAGAAGCCAAGCATGCACATCTGACCATGATTTTTTGAATTTCTGTGTTTCTTCTGAACCACCCATAGCTCTTGTGTTTCCCAGCCTGATTAAGCCCTTAATGAAGTTGAAAATTACCTTATAATCTTATATTTGTGGTTTTTAGAGGTCTAATAAAAATATCACCCACCCTTGCCTTCAAGATAAGGATGTGTCACTGAAGGTCTCCTGTTTCTCTGCCGAGGGTAGCTTTAAGTTCTGTAATAGTTCATTTCACTCTGGAATTTCTTCTGATCTGTACTTTAAAATAGGCAGCACTCTGTACCTATAGAAACAACTAGGTCTAAGGTGGATTGCAGTTGGGTTTTCATTTTTGGTCTAGTACATTCTAGCAAAAGCTGGATTTCTTGTCTTCACTATGCAAACTGTTTATCTGTTTCTCTGCCGAGGGTAGCTTTAAGTTCTGTAATAGTTCATTTCACTCTGGAATTTCTTCTGATCTGTACTTTAAAAAATAGCTTTCCTACTTTTCTCTTTTACAGCACTGTGTTTTCAATTAGTCCTTGAGTGATGATAGGAAATATGGAGAGGCCTTTATGAATCCATAACTCACACCCCAATGTAACAATCCAGGGCTTTCCAGTTTTCTAAAAACATTAGTTAAAGAGGCTGACAAAAAAAAGTAATCCTCCATACTCTGAGTGCTGTTTGTACTTGTTGAATATTGCATTTATGCAGTGATATATTGGTGGTTTCTCTTTAGTTGCTCATATCATTATACTTTTTTAAATTGTCATGGATTAACTTCAGTGTTGTTTCAGTGCTTGCAATACTACTAAAAAAAGGATATTGCTTACACTCTGGTGTACTCTTTGCTGTATCCAGAAACAGAACACTTGTCTTGCAAACAGATCATCTTAGAACTGTATAGCTGGATGGGATTCTATGGATTATTGAGTCCAGTCCCTATCAAGGAGGCACAGTAGGGAATCAAACTCTCGCTTCATAGCCAGATACCTAAACCACTAAGCTATCTTATTTCTGGCATCAGAAAAGTTGAAGTCAAATGCCTTAAATGGTAAAAGTAGCTTAAACCTACTGGATGAAATACTCAAGGAGTCTGCATTGACACAGACAGAAGAAATGCAATTTTTTTACCAGTTTGATCATTAAATATCACTTGTTATTACAGATGTGTATAATTGATGTGGACCCGGAAATTTAAGTGGTTGTCTACACAAGGTCTTTTGAAGTGGATTAGTGTTGATTAAATAGGAGTGCTGTCCTTTGAATATGCCAGCCACAGAGACTGGCGAAATGTTAGGAAGAACAACCTTCAGAACCCGGTCAAAGAGCCCGAAAAACCCACAACAACTGTCAGTTAAATTGGTGTTGGGTAGAGGTTGATATGGCATTTTGTGTGATCTCCTGATAAGCCATTTGGAAGTGAGGATCGCATCAAATGGCATATCAGAGCTCAAGTAACACTATTTAGTCCGGCTCCTTCCAGTGGGA